TCCATCCGAGGGCTTGAAGGGGGCTCTCGGAGGGCTCGGAGGGCTCGAGCTTCCGAGGTCTCCAGACCCCTCCGAGCCCTACTGGAGCCCTCCAGCCCTCCAAGCCCTCCGAGCCCTCCGAGCCCTCCGAGCCCTCCGAGCCCTCCGAGCCCCCCGAGCCCGGCTCGGCGGCTCGCCCCTCCGAGCCCTCCGGGCACTCCATCCCTTGTTGAGCCCTCTCCCGAGCCCTCCCGAGCCCACCAGCGCCACCCTCGTGCCTCTCTGCCCTCCGAGCCTTCCGACCCCTCCGAGCTCTCCACCTCTCCCAAGCCCCCACGAGGCCTCCTATGCCTCGCTTTTGGCCAGCCCTCCCAGCCCCCACCCCTCCGAGTGCCCTCCTGGGCCCTGCCGCCTGACACCTCTATCGGTGGAGGGCTTTAGGTCACGGTCCACACTCCCGCCCTCCCGACCCCTCCCCACACTCCTACAGCGGCACCCCTACCCCTCCCGCCGTTTTAGGGCCTACCCACCCGCACTCTACTCCAGCGCATCGACCCATCGTGATCGACGATGCGCGGGGCCGCCGGCCGCCGCCCATCGAGCATGCAGACTCATCAGGTCTCAGCAGTGTGCCCAGTGCCGCAGTGGCAGGTGGCACAGACACAAGCCACAGGCCACACCGCCCCACGTGACCAAAAGTAAAAAGCACCTCACGCTAGATTTGCGTCGTTGCGAATTTTCTAGAGACGTGGACGTGCAATTTTGCAAGAGCCGGCACGCGTGTGTTTTTGAGCCGCGCTCACCGCCCGCGGCATCTCGCGGCGCGAGAGGCGCGCTCACCGCCCGCGGCATCTCGCGGCGCGAGTGGCGCGCGGGGCCGGGCGAGCCGAGCCCCTAGACATGCACATGCACGTACGAGCTCACACAGAGTGAAATGGCTCCGAGCTACACCATGGAAGAGCCATCGGCTTCGGCCCCTGCGCTGTGCCGCGAGATCAGCCCGGCTACGGCGTAAGTGCCGAGGAGGCCGACCGCGAGGAGGCCGGCCGCCAGCAGACCGGCTGGCGCCGCCGCGCCGCCTTGGGAGGAGAGGGGAGAGTCGCGGGCGGTAGCTTCGTGCCGCAGGAGGATGCTTGCGCTGCCGTCGGCCTTCTTGTGGATGTCAGGTGACGCAACTTCGACGTTGGGCGCGCCGTCCGGTGCGACGCTCGCGGAGGAGCCCATCACGTTGGCCGACGCGCCGCTGCCTCCAACAGACCAGCCACCGACCTCTCCAACGCCGAGGACGTCCTGCTGAAACTTGACTCCCTCGCCCGACGTGTACCCGAGCGACGCTCCCTTGAGGTGCCCTTCGACGCCGTCCGGCGAGGCCGCCGCGCCCATGACACTTCCAAACACGGGAAGCTCAACATTGTACCCAACGCCGCCACTGTTCGCGTGGCCAGACACGCCGAGGAACTGCCCTTCAATTCCGTTGCCGTCGACGCTCGCCGACACCGGAAACTCAAGAGAGGCGCCTGAGCCGCTGACGTGGATCGAGTCGTCCTGTATGGAGGCGCATGCGGCGAGGGCTGTGGCCAGCATTGGTTGACAGTCGTTGCTTGAGCGTGCGATAGAGCAGTGTTTGGGGCTCTTGGTGCGTGCCGTCATCAGCGCTGTCGCTATATAGAATTCTTAAATTTTTTAGCACACTTGCACGACAAGGGCGCAGACTGGCGCGGACTGGCACACACACCGGCTCACCATATAGAAGGTAAACTGCTGTCACTTCTCTATGAGTTGGACGACCATCGTTGGAGAAGTAAAAAAGAATCTTATCCTCGCCCCAGTATATATGAGGAGTCGTCTCAGGGCGTTTTGGGGTACATACAGTAACATACATCACGCATCTCCGCGCAGTCCGCATCACTCGCACCGGGCACACCTCCTCTTCAATAGGCGCCGAGCCTGGCGCACTCGTCGCCAGAGGCCATGCGAGCGACGAGGCTCGCAAAGGTCCACTCCGGCCGCCAGCCGAGCCCCTGCTCCTCGTCCAGCGCGGCGGAGCTGTCGTAGACGCGCGGGACCGCCGCCGGCAGCCGCCAGGCGGCCTGTGCGAAGGCTGCCGCCGCCGCTGGAACGCGCTCCTCGAGGAGCCAAGAGGCGTCTGGTAGTCTCGGCAGGTCCTCCCGCCTCAGGCCGGTCGGCGCGGCGAGAATGAAGACACGGCCAGAGACGGCGGGAAGGCGCTTCAGCGCGCGGAGGTGGCCGTCGACGACGTCCCGCAGGGCCACGCGCCGGCCGAGCAGCTCGTTCGCCTTGTCGTTGGGCAGGCTTAGCCCTGCGGTGGGCTCGCGGAGCTCCTCGGCGAAGAAGCGCGACGGCCTCAGCACCACCACCGGGCACACGGCCTGGCCGAGGCAAAGGCGTTCTGCGGCGAGCTTCGTGCGGCCGTACTTGTTGCGCGGCGGGCCGGTCGGCTCGCGCTCGTCGGCCCAGAAGCACTCCCCGCGCGCCATTGTCTCCTTGGCGGCCTCGGTGACCATTAGCGAGGTCGTCGAGGTGTACACAAACGCCTCGCAGCCAGCCCTGGCCGCCGCGTCGAGCAACAGTTGCGTGCCATGCACGTTGATACGGACAAAGTCGCTTTCGGAGAAAGTGTCGTCGTCCGGGTGGTGCAGCGACGCGGTGTGGAAGATGGCCTTGCAGCCCTGCACCGCACGCTCGACGACCGCCGCATCGGCAACTGAGCCCTGCACGTCGGTCGTGCCCGCCGCAAGCACGTCGAGCCCACGCACGCTGACGCCGACACCACGCAGAACCGTCACCAATGCGGCACCCAGCAGACCGCTGCTGCCCGTGACAAGGATCGGCGATGGGAAGGCGGCCGGTCCGGAGCCTGCATGCGCAGCCTCCGCGTGAGCCATCTCCATCGCCTGCGCCAGGACCAAGTCCTCTTCGCATCGCTTCAGCAGCCGTGCGCGTGAAACGCGAGATGCAAGCGCTCCCGCATCGGAGCCACAGCTGCCTTCACTCATGACGAGAGGCCGTGCCCTGACGGCACTGCTGCTGTCACCTCCGGTCACGGAACTCCCGTGCGAGCGAGGTTTTTAGAGAGAGATTTTTATTAACCAACAAGAAATCACGACTCTCACAGTGATTTGGGCTCGGCAGCTTGTTAGCCCTCAGCCGAAGCTGGGGCCGGTCCCGTAGCCGAGAGAGCCCGCGCCGTGAGTTCGACGCGGTCGGGAGGCCTTGCGGAGAGGCCAGCGAGGTGGCGATCGCTGTACTTCATGGTCGTCATCAAGTGACCGGCTGACAAGCCAGAGGTCGATACTCTGGACGACCCATAGGATGCCACGAATGCCTGAAGGAGAGGGAGGCGAGGCCAGAGGCAGGCTCAGCTGCTCTCGGGTGATCCCGCTTTGGAGGCTGAAGGACCCGATGGTCCTGTCACATTCGCGTTCCGAGTCGTGGGGGTAGAAGAATTCGAGTAGAAATCGAGTCAGCACTTCCTTGTAGTACAGCGGACCGCCAGGCTCGCCGGCAGCATCCGCAGGGAGGCAGCATATGGGGCACCAGTTTTCTGGAGAGCTCAGCAGCTGCGGCCGCGGTGGCAGAGTCGGCCGCGGTTCGAGCGAGCAGCTTTTGGCTGCGGGTTCGAATCGCGGAAGGCACATGCCCTCGCGGAGCGACGCGGGTCGCGCGGCGCGCGCGTGTGCGAAATGCGACAACAGACGAAAGACGACAAACGCCTGAGCGCTGTACGCCTGAACTTTTGTCGCCGCAATCGCCACCGCCGCCATCTTGACGAGCAGCGCGAGCGCGCTCGTCGGCGGCCAGCCGTCGCGGGCCGAGCCGAGCCCGGCCTCAACCGGCCGCGCCGCCGCAGCAGGCCCGGAGGCCCACATGGCGGCCGACCAGCTGATAAGGAGCTTCTACGGGTTTTTATGATGTGTTACTGCGAAGAGAGAGGGGAGAAGAGTGTAAGCTGCCTATATGGGCTTCCAGTATCGGACCTTCAAGACATGCGCTTTTGGCCGGTGGCCTCCTCGGACATGGTACCTCCGGTGAGATAGTGGCTGCCAGTTCGAGACTGGGGCCGATCGAACTTGATTTGTTCGGAGGAGGAATCCGGCCAGCACGGGTACAAAGAGGGGTACCCGGAGAATCCCCAGCTGCGGAAACGTAGTGTCGCTCAAGAGGTGCGATACTGCGGGGCGGTGTAAGGTGCCTCGGACAAAGAGGCAGACCTCCGGACCTGGTATCGACTGGTAGGTGGGCGAGGATTTCAGCGCATCACACCCCTCTCCTTAAAATCCCTGTATGTGGTGGCGGCGTGCCGTCCTCCCATCCCTCCCTTGGGTATGTTGTTGGCAAACCAAGACACAGAGAGGGCCCAACTTCAGAATCGTGCTTTTTGGGTTGGGTTGGGTTGTTAGCGGGTTGGGTTGTTCCGCGTGAGGTTGGGTCGTCGGCGCAAATGGTGAGGTCTCGACCGCCGCCGCTCACGCCAGCGGACGGCCACCATCGGTGTTTTTGGCTTCGCCACCGTCCAAGGCGTGCGCCATGCGCTCGCCGGCATCGAGCGAGCAACGTGATCGACCGAGCGGCTTGCTGTGTGGACGCCTTCTTCTGGCTCTCGTCGAGAGCGTTTTGCGTCCCGGCGGGTGGGATAGTATGTGTCGTCTGATGTGTCACTGTGTGCGTCACATCGGTCTTGATAACAAGCACGGTCGATCCGTCGAAGCGATACACTCGTTCCTATCACGCTGGAAGGCTGGCACGGAGCTCTGTGCCGGCACACAGCAAGAGCCGTGCAGCAAGAGAAGAGCTCGATGGGGAGCGAGAACCGTCAGAGGTGCTCACCCAGGTTTCGGAAGTCCGCCTTGATGCGGTCAGTTCCCCCCAGGTTTGACCGCGCGGCTCGCAAGACTCGTCGAGCACTCGCAGCCTTTCTGCGCCTCTGACTCTGCAAGCTATGCGGGAAGAGCAGTTTATCCGCAATATATCGACGAGTTCGAGAGAGCCACAGGCTTTCGCTCGGGAGGGATTGAGTGCATCGCGACGGACTTCAGGTTACACCTGAAAATCTGACGGTTCTCGCTCCCCATCGAGCTCTTCTCTTGCTGCACGGCTCTTGCTTTGCGCTGGCAGATCCAGGGGTCCACCTACATCCTCTGGGCGATGGGCGACCATACCTACGGCGGGACTGAGCGGTGTGACTTCAACGCGACCGGCGAGGGCGAGTGTTCGCAGGGCTTCTTCTGCCCGGATGCCCCGCCCACGTCCTGCTACGGCGAGACGGGGGAGGAGATCCTCGACAGCTTCGCCGCAAACTACTCGTGCTTCACTTCGGAGAATACCGTCGCGCTCTGCATGCTCTACATCCTCCTCTTCGCCCTCGTCTGCAAACTCGTCTACGCGCTCGCCCTCTCCGCCGTGCGCGGTGGCAAGATGGTCAAGCCGCCCACAACGCCTCCGTGTCTCGGCTCCGCAGACCCGAGCTCGCCTGCGCACCCGGGCCCCCGGCGGGTGCAGCCCTTCGCGACGAGATAAGCTGATTAATTAACCGGCTAATTGTACATTTGTTGTGTGCACTGAGTACAGTGTCCAACGAGATAGTGCGTACGTTCTCGTGGAAATTTGGTTTTTACGGGGTGTGTCCCCAGACTGTCACACGAGTCTCGTCGCGCCGCTACCGGCCTACCGCGCCACCGGCACCGCGCCAGCGATCTTCACGCCTCCTTTTTGAAGGCGCCCTTGGCCTTGGAGACCATCTCGTCCAGTTTGAGCGGAAGCAGCTCCTATACCACACCATACAGGAGACGTGTGAGAGGCGCCGCACCGAAGGGCGCCCGCTCTTACGAGGTGTTGGGTGGGTGGGGCATGGGGGGGCATACCTCAATCTCGACCCCTACGAGCCCTCCGAGCCCTTTCGAGCCCTCTTGGGGGGCAGTCACATAAGCCGCGACTTCGTTTTCTTTATCTTTTTGCGACCCCTCCCGGAGGGCCCTTCCGACCCCTCTTGAGCCCTCCCGCCACGAAGATCCTCCCCCGTCCGACCGTCCCTCCGAGCCCACCCGGCGTCCGGGGAGGGGGTTAGCCCTGTGGAGCCCTCCCGACGCCGATCCGACGGGGACCCCTCCAGCCCTGGGGCTGGCAAGCACCTC